CCCCCCCCCCCCCAATGGAGAATGGCAACCAGATGGCGGGGGCAGCGGGGTTTTCATTTTTTTTTTATTTAGATCATTATTTTTTTAGAATTTGTTTCCCCTTTTAATCACCTTTTTTTATTTAATTATTTTTTTTATACATTTGTAGGATTGGAGGACGGACTTGCAGTCTCATTACAAGTGATCTTGGTGACATCGCTGAAATCACTTGTAAATGAACGAGCGGCTTCCCTGCTCTACATTTAGCCCTGCTTGACCAAAGCAGGGCTAAATGTGGAAAACCACTACCAGGCCAGCACCCGGAACTGCATGTCCCTCTGCTCCCTGCCGCCACAGGCCACGGTGGCCTTGTGAGAAATCCGACCTGTCTGCTGGAGGACTCTGCTCCTTCCATCTAACTCTCCTCTCCTGAAATATTCAGAAGGTCTCTGCTGCTTCCTATGTCCAACTCTCCTCTAAGTGTAGGGAGCTGTGTGAATGCTGGGATTTGTAGTACCACCACAATGACCTCCCCTGGTGTCTAACAGTTGACATCTGAAATATTCTAGCCCAGAATGTTGATGGGGTAGGTTGTCTCATCTGGTCCTCTCACCTGCCAGTAGACTGTCTCGTAGTTTAATCATGGAGTCCTCAGCGATGATGGCGGATTCCTTTGTCTTATTTTCAGTGCTGGAAGACAGACACACACAAAAATTATTCTTTCCTGATTACAATGCACCCTGTTCTTTCAAAGTGTCTGAAATAAGAACTGTCTGGGTTGAGCAGGTTTAAGACAGCATCAGTCTTCTGTAAAACTTTCATAAGCTAAATAGAATAAAATTATAAGAAAATAGATTTTCTCCAAAGTTATTTTGTTCACCAACTAAATACAAAATGTGAAAATATGTGCGATCCAAAAATGCCAGGAAGGTAGATAGAAGGATCGATTGCTCCTTACGCATTGTTGCGGCAGTCGTCCACCCACTCCCTCATAATCGCATGGTAGGTGTCCAGGTCCATTGATATGTCTCTACTCTCTGGGTCCAGCATGTTGCACAGTTCGCTAAGTCCACTGTCCTCCGAGCCGCGGCTGGTCGTGTGACGCAGGTAATCCACAATCTTCGACACGGCCACTTTACCTGAATCCCAAAAGTATTCAGCATACAAGTAGTTGGACTCTCAATACAAGAAGCAAACACCATAATTATCTACAATTTATACAATAACTCCAACCATAAAATACCTCCTTACACTTCTGGGCTGCTACCCCACCCCTGCTGTGCTATAAGGTTGTCTGCATACGGAGGGCAACAACATTTTTCAGATGTGGGGAGCTTGTGCCACTGCCTCACCTCCTGCCAGCAACCCGTGCCACTGGTCAGCCTCCTCCCTGCACCCGTGCCACTGGTCAGCCTCCTCCCTGCACCCGTGCCACTGGTCAGCCTCCTCCCAGAGATGTCTGATTATCCCAGTGATTTAGGGAGGTAACAATAGCATTTGGTAAACTGATTTGGGTAAAAATGTAAACAAAATTTGGGAACCTGTACACAATCAGGTCAAGGCAAAATTAGCATTCTGTACCATTGGGCTTTCAGAGGGAGATGACAAATGGGGGGCCCCTTAATAGTTTTGCTATGGGGCCCTATCATACATAGTCCTCACCTCGGTGTTCAGTGTCACAGGCATGGAAAATGCTGTCCAGCAAGTCCTCCTCACAGATCAGACTGACTTCAGATGCCGGCTCAGCTTTGTGTTCCATCATACGCTTCATACCTGAAGAGGAGACAAGGATATGCTGAAGTAGTAGCCATGGTGTCACGGTGATAGAGGGTGTCACGGTGATAGTGCAATTATTACACGCCATTTGACTGTAGACCTCTCACTGTGCCAGCTCTGTATGCCCCTCTGCCACCCTCCCCTGGGAGCTTTACCTGCACTTTCACTCATCGACAACCTCTTCACCACTGGCGACTTCAAAGTGAAATTTTCAGATTTCGGGTCAAAGTAAAAACTGGAGACAGAGGGCAGGATCCGGTCTTCTAGGACAATGCTCTTAAATTCGGAGCCTGGGTTGGTGGACTGGTGGAATTTAAAGTGGGCCTCTCTGGGGAGGACGACTGGTGTGGAGCAGCTCTGGGAGCCGCAGGATGGCCAAATTTCCTTGGCCTTCTCTTTGGAAGTTATGCTGGCAGAGTAGAGCATGCTGCTCAGAGGGGAGTCACAGTCCAGCACTTGCTGCAACATTGGAGGCTTGACCTTGATCTGTGGAGAGAAGCTGACCACCTCACAGGGGCTGGAGAAGCCTCCGGGGTCTTTGCTGCCGCTCTTCATGGCGCGATTCTTTAGAACCTCCTCCAGGTCTTTCTTGGTGCTGGACTGAGGACTGTCAAAGTTCCTGGACTGAAATTTGGGGATCTGCAGGTAGGGGTTGGACTCCTGGTCCCGCATCTCAATGGTCTTGATCTTGCGACGGATGCTGTCCACTGGGTTGTGCCGCTTGGTTGCCGATCCTGAGTCAGCCATTTTTATCTGTATTTTAGTTTAAAAAAAAAAAAAATGCAATTATTACACGCCACAAATTCTGCACCAAGATAGCCATTGTTATACTGCATGTTACCAGTAATGTTCAATATACAACGGCAAGTTTTCAAGATTAGGAATGAGCAAAAACAACACCCTGAAATTAAATTGAAAATCAGATTTCAGTGAAATGCATTGGAGTCAAAGTTTTTAAGGGGTGCAATAGGATTTATATGGCTCCTATAGGATTAGGGAAACTCATTTCACCTATCATCACTTGTGCCAAATAAAATTGGTCCTCATTTTGTAGAAAGAAAAAACCCAAAATAGCATATACAAATAAAACAGGGAAAACCAAAAACAAATAAAAAGAATTACATCCTCTACGAAAAAAAAATCTACACTTTCTCAAAGTCAATAACTCAATATTGAGGCCAAAACATCACTGCAAAAGCCAAGCAGTTAGTACTTTCAGGAGATATCAGCAATGGAAGGCCATCAATTCCTTCCATGGCAGGTTTCTTTTATGCATGTTCCAATTATTGTACACCAGTAGGTTCAGAAGGTGTTTATAGAAATTACAAACACACCCTGGGGCCATATTAAAAAAGCAGACCCAAAAAAAAAGAAAACTTATGAATATCAGCTATTTATAAATACGATGAAATAGAATCATGATCAATACCGAGATATAAAGAGACAGGATGGTTATGCCGTGTCTTTCAGCTGCATTCAGTAACTTTTAGGATACACAATCCAAGGCTACTGTACAACTCCTAGCGTGAGCCCCTGGGTCCTCTGTTCTAGCACTGACTGTGAAATACTCACCAACCCAACAGCAATAAAGTGATGAGTTCTCTGGAATGTGGAGAGCAAAACACTGATAATATTAATATTGTGTAACAAAATTGGAAGCTTTCCAGCCACAAACCTGTGTTCCCTCCAGACTAGCCTGGGAGTCTGATCAGGGCTGCAGGAAGTGATCCTGAGGGCAGAACCAGCTCTGGATAATCTACAGAACCAGCATCAGGTGTGTCTCCACCACCGAGGCAGACAACTATGAGCCTGGTGCCCCTCTCTGGAACGGACTGATTACTACCCCTCTCTAGATAGGACTGATTACTGCCCCCTCTGGACAGAACTAATTACTGCTCCCTCTAGACAGGACTGATTACTGCCCCCCTCTGGACAGGAATTATTACTGCCCCCCTCTGGACAGAACTAATTACTACTCCTCTCTGGACAGAACTAATTACTACTCCTCTCTGGACAGGACTGATTACTGCCCCCTCTCTGGATAGGAATTATTACTGCCCCCCTCTGGACAGGACTGATTATTGCCCCCTTTGGACAGAACTAATTACTGGTACTTAAAGAAGAACTCCGAGCAGAATAAGACGCCATGACACTACATCAAGGCCACCTGTACAATAAGTGCGGTTTGTTGATGGAATGAGTCCCGACCCGAATGAGTCCCGAGAGGCACACTGCCTGTTCAGCATTGCAGTCATCGGAAGCCAGCCCCTCAGGGGGGCGGGCTTGCGATGATCGCAAGTACGATCTGCCTGTCCAAGATGGGCAGATCGTACGTTTTTTAAATTACTTTACAACCATCGCAAGTATAAGGTCTTGCGATGGTTGTAAAGTGTATGTCCACCTTAAGTGCTCGTTTTGGTCTATCTAGGGAGTAAAATAAAAAAGATATACTCACCCAAACCTTGGTCTCGCCTCTCTGTTAGACCTGTCCCTGCAGCCTCTCCACCCCTTCACTCCAGCGGCAGAATGCCCCTCAGTGTCCTCACTGTATTAAACATGATGACTCATGGGTTGACTGCTGGAGCGGAGGGGGAGAGGGGCTGCGGGGACCGGTCTAGCAGCCAAGCAGGACCAAGAAGCAGGTGAGTATAGCTTTGCTATTTTAGCTCCTTAGACCAAAACGAGCACTTAACCCTTGCAGTGCGGGGGGTAGACCCACTGCAAGGGTTGAACATTATTCTGCCCAGAGTTATTCTGGAATAGACATATTCTTAATCAGAGTTTTTGATCCCCTTATTTGTTCCAAGCCAGTGACCTAGGAAGCATTGGAGCCAGAGGATAAGCATTACAGTCAATTAGCAACTAGCATTTTCAGAAGGATAAGTTACCAATATCCGCCTTCATATTGTCTCAGCAAATGTTTGTGTAGAAGTGCACCATCTGCAGCCATTATTTGGAACCTGAGAACAAATATGAGGTAGATGGTCCTGGGGCTAGTTCACTCCAGATGCAGTTGTGTTCAGTTTGGCAACTGCATCCAGAATGCATCACAATGCTTTCCTATGGGATTTCTGGTGCTCTGTTCACACCAGCGCAGTCCGTTCTGATACTGCTTGCCCTATTTTAGCTGCATCGGATCGCAACAGAATGCATCAAAACGCATCACAAACGCATGCAACAGTTCTGGTGTGAACTAGCCCTTAGGGTCGGTTCACACCACAAACAGTGCATTCCAGAGCGGTCAGCCTCTGGAACGCACTGTATCGCATCCCGGCTGGCTCCCTGCGTTCAGGGGCAGGAGGGGTGTGGTGGTGCATTGAAGTCAATGGCACCGCAGCCACGCCCCCTGCCCACATTGAGATTGCCCGCACCTGAACGTGTGACACATTAGTGCCTGCGTTCTGTTGCAGTGTGATCTGCAAAAATGCTGCAAGCATTGACTTCAATGCACTGCCACGCCCACTCCCACCCCTGAACGCAGGAAGCCGGCCAGAATGCGATACAGTTAGTTCCAGAGGCTGAGCGCTCTGGAACGCACTGTTTGTGGTGTGAACCGGCCCTTAGAGCTGAGAGTTCTTGCTACATCACCCGAGTCACCTCACTCACATCAAACTATAGGTGTTGTTACCAAACACCTGACTTGCATATGTTTTGCATCAGTAGTGCAGCACGGATCAGGATGACAGTCCCAGAGACTGGGGTTCTAGGAACATCTCAGAAATGCCAGGGAAGAGAAGACATAGGCATATTAAAGTTCAGGTTTAAACATATTATAATCTCTGATGTACAGTTGGGGTTCTTCTGAACTGATTTTTCTGCCAGACCATTGTCAGTAATTATGACCTCAAAGTATTTGAGAAGTTCCTGATGTGGCCTCTGGGGTGCGCTGCTCCACCATCATCACATCACTGAGCTGCGACTTTGCCATCCCATCAACTCTCAAGGATAAAGATACAGATTTGATTATTGAAGTGGAGAAGTGAGTTGTGGGTTATCTTGAAGAAATTTAGGAAATCATGGGCAAAGTGGAAGAAGCACAAGACCCTTGCACATATATTCATGTATGCAACTCTGATTTGGTTTGGGGGTCCCAGCAGGGAAACACAGCTACTTGTAAACTCATGAACTAAGATCAGTGTTTCTCTAATGGGGATGACCTCCTCTACAACTGAGCACGGAGCTTTAAGAGGGACACACCTGGAGTGTGTGTATGTGTGTAGGTCTATTAGACCCCAATGTCTCCCTTGCACTTTCCCTGAACTGATCAAGGACATGAAGTCTCCAATCAGCTCCCAACACAGCCGGCTGTCAGCTTGACATCTGTAAACCAGGAAATGCTCAGAGCGTAGCTCTTCTGGGTTCATTGTACAGAGGAGGTATAGAATCTCTCCTCCGTACACACACTCACCATCCAGGGCCGGATTTACTCTCTCCGCTGCCCCAAGGCCAGGTTCCTCAATGCGCCCTACTACCCGCCAAACTCACCCCATGGAGAATGGCTGACCTGCAGGCTGCATACAAGTGATCTCGGCAACATCACCGGGATCACTTGTACAAAACAAATGGCGCCTCCCCGCTGTACATTTAGTTCTGCTTGCCCAAAGCAGGGCTGAATGTAGAAAACAACTACCCACCCGGCGGCCGGAACTGCATGTCCCGAGCATCGGGAGATAGGAATTCCACACCCCTGCTGCCCCTCTACTCCCTACTGCCCCAAGGCCGGGCCTTAGTTGGCCTTGTGGGAAATCCCACCCTGTCACCATCTTAAAAATAGTCCCAGAAGGAGACAACCCCTACCTGCAGATCCCCATATTTCAGTCCAGGAACTTTGACAGTCCTCAATCCAGCACCAAGAAAGACCTGGAGGAGGTTCTAAAGAATCGCGCCATGAAGAGCGGCAGCAAAGACCCCGGAGGCTTCTCCAGCCCCTGTGAGGTGGTCAGCTTCTCTCCACAGATCAAGGTCAAGCCTCCAATGTTGCAGCAAGTGCTGGACTGTGACTCCCCTCTGAGCAGCATGCTCTACTCTGCCAGCATAACTTCCAAAGAGAAGGCCAAGGAAATTTGGCCATCCTGCGGCTCCCAGAGCTGCTCCACACCAGTCGTCCCCTCCACCGCTCCAATGGTGGCACCCAGGTGTGGGCCGCACCCCCCTTGTGACGCCACTGCCTCCAATACTGTGAATCCATGATCCTGGGCATGCATACCTCTTGAGTCAGAGGCAGTGACATCACTGGAACCTGTGACAGACAGGTATATAGCATTTTCAGGAAAAGGTTAGTAATGAAGACCAATGGATTTCTCTCCTGTTAGATTTTCTATAAAGGGTCCTTTCCATGCAATATTTTGGTGATGCTGGAGACTTTACTTAGATCCTTGGGGGGCTTCATAAGCGCAATCACTGATCTTAAGTTTCCTATACTTTTGAGGGGCTCCCACTATCCTTGCTGGAATGGAGTTAGGTGGGCAAGGATACCCCAACCTCCAAGAGGGGCAGGAGTAGAACTATCTATGGGGGTTACTTATTGAGCAAGTGACTCACACAATTCCACCTATAACTGATATACGTGCACTGACCGCCAGGATGCCGTCGGTGGCCATACTCAATGGTTCCCAGTCAAACAATCGCTTTTATTTCCTGTTTATGCGTCCGGAGAGGATCTGTCCCCATCACATAAACTGGATGTTGGCGCCAAGGTGGGATTGAAAATATTTTTAAATATTGTGTAAAAGGAAAATTGTGCAATA